GGACTGGGCAGAACCTGCAATGGAGGACTGGGCAGAACCTGCAATGGAGGACTGGGCAGAACCTGCAATGGAGGACTGGACAGAACCTGGAATCATAAGTAAAGTAAACTCTGATAGGAGTAACAGCTATTCTTTATCTCTATGTTCCTCATCTCTGCATTGTGAACGCTCAGTAAAGGTTTACTGAATGAAGCTCACAAGGCACACTCGAGGCTATTAAATATTTTAGGTCTAGATATTACCACAGCGCTGAGATTTCTGAGAAGGAACAAAGTCATTATTAAACTGCACAGAGTACTCACACCCAGTGTCATTACACGATGTTCCGCCCTAAACCATGTTGAAGACTGAAGTACTTACTTCAGCAGAGAAGGCCTGGCCGTGCTTTGTTATTCCTGCACTGGAGGAATCAGGATTCCCCGCTGACTCTACCCTCTGAGAACTTTCCAAACAGATCTCATGGCTCTGTGGATCACTATGTAAGCTTAAGTCTTGTTTGGAGCTTGACGTTCTTTTCTTCTTCTGTTTCTTCGGAATGTCCCCATCACACTGGGCTTTTCTTTGTCGAAACCGAGCAAGCTGTAAGGAAAAAGCCAAGTGGCATTATCCTCATCTAGGGATTTCTATCATTATGAAAGCTGAGTCACTTTATTAAAAACTCCAACTACCACTAAGACCAAATGACAAACTAAGGGCAGACGTTCTACCCGCACAAGAGCGATCAGCGCCACACTGCAGACGCTGATATAAGAAAGGAAAATGTCTGCAAGAGAACATCAGCTCAGAGTCAGAAGCTGGTGGGTGAGATGCGCCGTCACTCCTCTCTGAACATTATCTGTGGATTTCAAATTGTCTGAAAGCACAACACACGCAGAGTTCGAATGCATCCTTCATAGGTTTTCTATAGAAAATTAGCCTGCACCAAAAGATTTAGCTCTAACTGTGGTTTCTATGCCTTGTCTATAAAGGAAGACTGGAATGTAAATTCCAGAGTGAAGCTTTCTAGCCCTCCATGATTAGACTAGAGATACCTATTCGTATAATTTACTTACTATCCACATCACTGCACCATTCTTACTTGAATTTATTTTTAAAAGACATGTTTAATCCTAGGCACCTCTTGCTATAAACTAAAGGCCACTACCACTGTGATTTCTTTTTTTTTTTAAGTAGTCAACAAAAATTAAAACAAGGATGTATCCACCATTAAAATGTTAAAACATTGATGAAAGTCATAAGAGAATTGGATGTGTATCAAGACATGTAATTCAAGAGCAACAAACACTTTCAGCTATCATGGGAAGAAAAGATAAATTTTTCTTTTTTATTATACAATGTGTTCAACACGAAGCCAGGACATACATAAGATATTATCATCTAGTCAGAATTATCATTCCACATATAACACAATGCTGAGTGAACTATGGTGAAAGCTTAATAAAAATATTACTACAAACCATTACTGCAAATGGTGATACTTATCACACAATAGTGGGTATAATACAGTGTCACAGTGTAGTTACTATAAAAAGAACACCATCTACACCTCTTCTGACTAGAGACAGAGCAGGCCTCAGGCTCCAACCATGAACAATCATATCTAGTCTGATTTTAGTAATACTATACTCACAGCCACAGGTAAACTTTGAAAACCAAAAAACGTGTATCAACTATGGTGTGTTCACAACTTAAACTATAGGTGTTCTTTCCTAAATTTAATTTCTCTTTAAATATACTTGTGAGTAGTGTGTGTGTGTGTGTGTGTGTGTGTGTGCGTGCGCGCGCGCACCAATATGCTTGCTTAAGTATGTGCACATGGGGTCAGGGGTTGACTTCTGGTAAAAATCACTCTGCACTGAAGCCGTTGCTCATAGTATTGACTGTGGTAGACTGGCCAGCAAGTTCCTGGTATCCTCCTGTCTCTACCTATGTCCCCATCATACCACACTGTGCTGAAATTATAGACTCTCACCACCACCATGGCTGGCTTTTTACATAGATGTTGGGGACCCAAACTTTGCATACATAAGCAAGCATTTTACATCCTGAGCCGTCTCTCAGCTTAAATTTTCAATTTTTTTTCTTTTTTTGGCTTTTTCGAGACAGGGTTTCTCTGTATAGCCCTGGCTGTCCTGGAACTCACTCTGTAGACCAGGCTGGCCTCGAACTCAGAAATCCACCTGCCTCTGCCTCCCAAGTGCTGGGATTTAAAGGCGTGCGCCACCATTGCCCGGCTCAATTTTTTTTTTTTTAATAAAATTTCTTTCCTATGAAAAAGGTACTAACCAATACTTCTTAAATTTGAGTTCTTTAATCACTCTAAGAAAAAAACCAAAGATAAAACCTAGAGCTTTTGAAAAGAGAATTACACTAATAATATTGCTGTATTAACATTAATTAAAAAGATAGCTTATAAGTTATTATATAATATGCTAAGGCACTATTACTAATGATGTTAGTATCATTATCAAAATATGTGACAGACTATGAATAAATACAGTATTTTAAAACTTTATTAACTGTAAAATAATATATATAGGAATGCCCTATTTTTTTGAAGAAATTAATTCAACAATCACACATAACAGCTGCTAATGCTATACAATATAAGGAAATATACACCACAGTCAGGGCTTTCCCAAGTCATTTAGCAACCTTCAGTTATTCTGATTCACATCTGCCTGAAGAACAGGTGCAGGGTCAGAAGGTGCAGGGTCAGCAGGTGCAGGGTCAGCTGCCTCTTTGTACATTACTAAGCTGCTGAAACACATTTAAAGTACTTTGTAGGACAGATTTGTTCTTAAAAATAAACTGGCTGGATTATTATTAAAATACTATCTATATATAGAATCAAAAGTCCAGGCTCACCATTTAGAAAGAAAGGATCCCTCAGGGAGAATGCAATGCTACTGGAAATAGCATTCATTTTTTTTTATTGGATATTTTATTTATTTACAATACAGATGTCATCCTCTTTACCCATTTCCCTTCCCTAAAACCCCCTATCACACCCCCTCCTCCTTTATGCTTTTATACCATTTTGATTACATGCATGTATTAAGGTCAGTTCTAGGTTGAGGGTCTAGCAATACAATAGATGCAAATAGTCAAGGAACAAGCAAGGCAATAAACACAAATAGAGAACAAGCAAGGCATTAAACACAATTACTTGAACACTCCCGTGATCACTGTTTCTAAGGGCTTATCAGGATGACAAAATTATCTGAGCCTACTTCCCTGTCCTAGCCCAAGGTCATTTTCATGTCTGAAACCTACTTCTTTGTTCTAGCCTAAAATTTAGATTCCTGTCTGAAATTACTTCTTTGTTCTGGCCTAATATTTAGATCCCTGCCTGAGACTACTTCTTCTAAGATTTAGAATTACTTAGATAGAATTACTAAGATAAGAATCAAATTACTTCTTTGTTCTAGCCTAATGTCAGATTCCTGCCAAGCAGCCTATTTCCTTGTCCTTGGCCCATGTCAGATTCTTGCCAAGCTGCCCCCCCACCAAAGGCTCTCCACTTCTCCCCCTTTTTTATTTCATTAACAATACTGAGCCTGTCTTAGGTCATTCTGCCAAGAATGCCTTCCTTACCTATCATAGAATATGCATTATCAAAAGCAATGCACTTTTGTCTTAGGTTGGTAAGGCTCTGTGCAGAATCTTACCTGTCCTTGGCTTCCCAGCCTATTAGTTTAATAACTCTGTCTGGAGGTTCATTTTCAGGTTCAAGCCATGTACTTGGCTGCCAACATGATGATGTTGGTGAAGAAAAGCTTTAACACAATGGGCAGGAATAAAAGTATTCCCAGGAAGAAAAGGGCTAGCATGATCAAGCTATTTATGCCATTTTTGAAGCTTGACCAAAATAGAAATACTGACCTCAGGCCATGTGTAATTTTATCAGCAGTATCTACCACATCAATGCTCTAAGATCAACAAGTGAAAAATGGGACACCTCATGAAACTGGGAAGCTTCTGTAAGGCAAGGGACACTGTCAACTGGACAAAACAACAGCCAAAGGATCTTCACCAACCCTACATCTGACAGAGGGCTAATATCCAAAATTTATAAAGAACTCACGAAGTTAGACACCAACAACCCAAATAGCCCAATTTAAAAACGGGGTCCAGAGCTAAACAGAGAATTCCTAACAGAGGAATCTCAAATGGCCGAGAAGCTATTAAAAATTTTTCAAAGTCTTTAGTCATCAGAGAAATGTAAATCAAAACAACTGTGAGGTTCCATCCTACACCTATCAGAATGGCTAAGATCAAAAACTGAAGAAATAGCACATGGTGACAAGGATGTGTAGCAAGAGAAACACTCCTCCATTGCTGGTGGGAGTGTAAACTTGCACAGACACTTTGGAAATCAATTTGGTGGGTTTTTTTTTTGTTTTGTTTGTTTTGTTTTGTTTTGTTTTGTTTTTTTCAGAAAACTGGGAATAGTTCTACCTCAAGACCCAACTATACCACTCCTGGGCATATACCCAAAAGATGCGTCAATATCTCACAAAAGCATTTGCTCAACTATGTTCATAGCAGCTTTATTTGTAATAGGAAGAAACTGGAAATAACCTAGATGTCCCTCAACAGAAGAACTGATACAGAAAAGGTGGTACATCTATACAATGGAATACTATTCAGCTATTAAAAACAAAGATATCGTGAATATTGCAGACAAATGGACGGAACCTGAGATTATCATCCTGAGTGAGGGAACCCAGTCCCAAAGGATATGCATGGTACGTTCTCACTTATAAGTGGATATTAGCCATAAAATACAAGTTCCATAGACCCCAAGAAGCTAAACAAGAAGGAAGGTCCAAGCGAGGAAGCTTGAATCTTACTTAAAGGGGGAAATAAAATAGTCATAAGAAGCAGATGAAGGGAAAGAACTGGGTGGGAGAGGGGATAGAAAGAAGAAGGGGGGATTCAGGGTCAAGTGTGGGGAGGGACAGGAGAGATGGCTAGATGGCTATGAGAAGGAATTGAAATTTTGCAACTGACGAGGGTGGGGAGGTGGGGGATATCTCCAAAATGAGACAGAAACCTGGGATAAAGTAAGATACCCAAGAATCAATGGGAGTGACCTTAGCTGTGACTCACAGCACGGAGGATATGGAATCTGAAGAGGCCATCTCCTGTAGCAAGGCAAAAAGCCCAGTGGAGCAATAGGGACAGCAACCCACCCACAAAACTTTTGACCTCAAATTTATCCTACCTCCAAGAAATGCAGGCATGGTGGATGAAGTAGAAACTGGGGGAATGGCCAACCAATGACCAACCTAACTTGAGAGGCATCTCATAAGCAAGCACCAATCCCTGACACTATTAATAATACTCTGTTATGCTTGCAGACAGGAGTCTAGCATGAATGTTTTCTAAGAGGCTCCACCCAGCACCTGACTCAGACAAATGCAGACACCCACAGCCAGTCGATAGAGCTTGGGGACTCTTATGGGAGAATAGGAGGAAGGATTGCTGTCCCAAAGGGGATAGAAACTCAACAGGAGACCAACAGAGTCAACTAACCTGAACCCTTGGGGCTATCATCTGAACCACCAACCAAA